TGTTTTCCCTGCTGCAACCCTCAATGCCACGACCACAGGTAAGTACCGGCCCCACGGGCCTGCCAAACAAGCAAGTACCCTTGATGTCACACGCACAATCATGTCGACAAGCACTAAGACAGGCACGCAAGTCAACAGGCACGCACATATACAGACTTAGAAAACACAGCAGAATGTGGGAATCTCAACAAGGTATCCATTCCATCGGCAGAACTTCATAAATCAACAGTGTTCTCAGTCTGTGTTATGGCGGGTCATTACACCTTCCTATTTGAAGTATGATGTAGTGTCTCCCACGGGATGAATGTACATCATGTCACTTGCAGTTATGGAGAGTTCAAGAAACAACTTGTTGAACTCGCGTGGAAAGGTTGGATCAAGCCAAGCAAATCGCCATACATTGCTCCAGTTTTTTTTGTCCTAAAGAAGAATGAAGGTATCCCAATGCGCATTGAATTGACTAAAGAATATTTCAATCAAGAACGTGGAACCATTGTCTCAGATTGATGATGTGTTGGAAAGAGTGCAAAGCTGCTAATTGTTTTCAAAGATTGGTTTGAAGAGTGGCTACCACCAGATTGAAGTGGAGTCGGCAGACCAACATAAGAGGGCATTTAGGACAACCATTTGACTCAATGACTTCAATGTGATGTCGTTTGATTTCACAAATGCACTGGAGAACTTCCAGCAAGTCATGAATGACCTGTTGAGATAATACCTCAACTAGTCAGTGATGGTTTGCCTCGATAACATCCTTGTGTTCACCAAACCAAACGAGGAGCATGCGAAGCATCTAAGGTTGGTTTTTGAGAAGTTGAGGCACAAAATACAAGATCAGCCGAGAGAAGAGTGAATTTTGAAAGGAGCTGGCTCGTTGTTTTAGACACATTATTTTTGCGGATAGTGGAACACCTTTTAAAGTCCATGTCGTCAAAGAGAGTTGTTGCGAGTACCTACAAGCGGGGGCTTTATGCCCTTTACCATGCTTTTATAACATGGAGGCATTATTTGTTGGGAAAACCGTTTAAGGTGTATTTTGATTACCATACACTGCAATGGTTGAACCCACGACCCAAACTTTCGGATAAGCTTGCGAGGTGGTCAACTTTTATAAATATTTATGATTTCGAGTTGAAGTATAAGAAAGATAGGTACAATCGAGTAGTAAATGCATTATCATGAAGGCAAAATCGTTTTACAACAATTTTGTCGCAAATGAACGTGAGTGATGAGTTGGTGGACAGGATCGCAGTAGCGTACTCTAAAACCCTTGTCTATAGCCAAATAGTTGTAGATTTTGAAGAACACCATAATTGTGTTATCGGTGATACTATGTAGAGGGGAACGCTCTACGCGAAGAGCATAGGGGTGTTGCAATTGTGTATTCTTTCAGACAGACTACTGCAGCTTGATGTGTTGGGGGAACATCATGATGCTTAAGGTCACTTTGGCTTAAAAAAATGCACCTGCGACTTTTTGAGCGGTTTTATTGGCCCACGATGATAAATTGTGTGTCAGAGTGCGTGAAACGTAGGACTATATGTCGGTGGTTGAAGGGGAAAGTACAAATACCATATGGTATTTTGAGGTCACTCCCAATCCCTCCATGAATTTCATGAGATGTTTTCTTGACACCAAGTAGAAGAATGATGTTGTATTTGTAATTGTTGAACGCTTCAACAAGTTCATAAGGTTTATATATGGGACATTTCATGGGACGTTTTCCGGAGATTAAATGGAAGAATGGCATTCACCGTGGTTTGAACAAGAGAAAGATGAAGAGAAAAAAGGAAAAAAGGGAAGGATAAAAAATGAATGGCATATAAACACGATGAAGGTATCGGAAGATGACAAGACATAGAGGAGGAGAAGAAAAAGGAGACAACGACAACTATCGCATACGAAAACGGAGAAGACCTAAAGAAGGAAAAAAAAAAAAAAAATGAAGACGATGAATGAACAAGAAAAAAAACTGTCAATTTCCAACAAGCATTTAAAGGACGAATGAAAACGATGAAGATGGAGGATGCAACAAAGATATGGAGGAGAAGGGTGAAACAAAGTGAGAAGGGCGATGAATAAATGAGAAAAAGAACTTTCAGTTTTCAACAGCCATTTTCTCCACGAGTTCGATATACGAAACACAAGGTTCGACAAGCACGAGACATGAAGAAAGATGAAGGAAGAATAGAGGCGATGAGGGTGGAAGAAGGAAAACAAACATAAAGAAGGATCAAGACAAGCAACGAACAATGATGACAAACAAGAGGCAATAAAAAAACTCTTAATCTCAAGCAGATGAACGACAAAAAGTATCAGTTTTCGGTGTTCAACTATTGTTTTCCATAATAGGACTAAAAAGAGGAGGGGGATGAGGACAAGTGGAGAAGAATGGATGAGGTGAGAATTGACAAGGAAGAGATATGAAAAAGGAGAAAGAGGGAAAAAAAATTGTCATGAACGAACAATTAAAGAAACAAAAGAAACCCTGAATTTGAACGACCGTCGTCTTCGCAACTTGCTCCTGTGTACATTACTGAAATTAGAGTTTCAATACCAAACACACAAAACGAAAAAAAAAAAAGACGAATGCATTTTCTCACTGAAGTTGGCAAGATAGATGAGAAAACATAAAAGAGAAAAAGGGCACAAAAATGATAAATAAGCGAGAAAAAAAAAACCTTGATTTCAACAATTGCTTTTTTTGTGACTTCGATTGAAAAAAAAAAAAAAAAAACGAAAGGCAATGAGGAAAGAGCAGTGGTGTATGTGATCAGAGTAGAAAAGGAAGAGAAGACAAGGAAGAGGATAAAAAAGACATTAAGATAAAGATAACGAATGAACGAGAACATAAAATAGGTAAAAAAACACAAGGAGMAARAAAAAAAAMGRAAAATAAAWMAAAGAAACTAAGGTTGATGARAAGAAAACATGGAAAAGGTAAAMAARAARAWAARAMAARGAGTAAWTAAAAAAAAAAAAAAAAAAAAAAACCTTAACTTTRAAWAAMWACATTTCCACGACGTCGAGAAARMAARAARAAAARAMWAAMAAAWGGATGAGAGATAAGATCGACAAAGTTGAAGGAGATAGAAAAGAAATAGAGAAGGTATAAAGATCACAAGGGTGAAGGTAAAAGAGACAATATGGATAAGACAAGGTAGAAGAGACAAAGGCGACAAAGAAAAACAAAAGCAACTTTGATTTCCAGCAACTGGTTTCTTTACGATTTAGATAACAAAATGACGAGGAGGAGGAAAAAAAATGGAAGATGGATGAAGGTGGCGAGGTTGGAGGAAGAAGACAAAACATAAAAGAAAAAAAATGACAAGGACAATGAATAAACAAGAAAAAAATGACGAGATTTTCAACAACTATTTTTTAAACAAATTTTATTAAACAAAACGGAGGAAGACTTCGGGAAAGAGAGCGTGATAAAGGTGAGGATGACGAATGAATGCTTTATCTATAACTTCCATAAAAACACAAGAAGGAAAAAAGAAGAAAGAGGAGACGAGGAAGGTAAAGAAAAGGCGGTTAAGAGAGACTCAAATTTTCAGAAATTTGTAATGCAATTTATAAGACAACCCCAAACTTTTTTTAATCAAACATGTCACCCATATATTTAGTGAACACCATATCAGCTTAACAAACAAACAAACTAGGCTACTAGTCGGGCTGCCTAGGTCACCCTATTTTCCCAGGTGGCCCGATCGTGGAAGGACCAGGAGAAGGTCAAAAAAAAAAAAAAAAAAAAAAAACCTCTAAAATAAAACTAAGTCATGCAGAAAAATAAATTGAACAAATTTTGCCTCAGGGTCACATCGGTCGGGCAAGTGGTTTTTGGCCACTGTTTAAAAAACAGAATAAAACTTCAAGGCAAAGATACATTTCATGCAAAATTCAATCAAATTTGCCCAACCCCTAGGCTACCAGCCGCCCGGGTCCCGGGTGGCCAGCTCGTGCAAGGACCAGCAAAAAAAAACAAAAACAAAAATTCCAAAAAATCCACCAAAAAACTATGTTATGCAGAAACATAAACTGAACAACTTTTGACTCAGGGTCACATCAAAGTTTTTCACCAAATTCAAAATAAAAAATAAACATTAAAAAAATATATATCTATTTTTAATGTTTTTGGCTCGACCGGGCAAGTGACCCCGGGCCACTCCCGTAGCCTAGCCCAACCGGAATTTCAAAAAAATTCAGAAATTTTAGAAATGCAAAATAGATCAATTTTGAATGGTCCAAAAGACATAACGCAAGAAAAAAAAAACTAGTTTTTTGCCCGGATGGTCTGGTCGTACCCAAACCAAAGAAACGGCGACGTTTGGAGTAGTAGTACGAGCAGTGATACTCTGATAGGTGCAATTTTTTGGACTTCTTAACTTAGGAGTTGAACTGGCAACGTTTGGAGCAGTAGTCAGGTGCGATAATTTGAGAGTTGGTACTGTAACTTGAGCTGATATAGGAATCGAACCGGTTACCTGGGTACGACAACCTTTTTCTGAAAAATGTTTTGAGAATGCGGTCTGGCGGTACGACGAACTCGCACGACTGTCCTGGGATCTTCCGACAATCGACTCGAGAAATATGTTGTAGGAGTATTTAAGTCGTAGTAACAAGGTTCGTCTTATCTTGCACCAGATAGTTTTCGACCCCTAATGACGCCGTACAGGCGACCGGTAGAAACAAAGTGTCGCGTCTGTCGCCTGGATTTGTTCTTCACGTATATTTTGCGTAAGATACCTGCGCTCGGTTCTTCATCTCCTTCGTCTATCTCTTGTGTGTGGTATACCTTGTGTGCTGCATATGAACGGGCTCAAACATTTTGTTTGTCTACCTTGGCTAATGATTATGACATTAGTCCACGCAAAAACCAACGTAGGAATCATACTATGGTCATGTGACTGCGCCCTCCCCAACTACTACCACTACTACTACTCTCGTCAAATTAGGGACTAATTAGTAATTAACACTCGAACGAGCTCGGTATGGATCGACCGGTATGTCACTACTGTCAAAGACTAGGGCACTTCATCCGCGACTGCAGAACTCGCATGCAGGATATGGAGAGGCAATCGAACCAAGCGAATCAAGGATATCAGGGCAATCAGGCGAACCTGGCTTCATCGTCGAATTCTGTATCAATTTCACAGGCGCCAGGAGCCATTGTTCCCTATCAAGCTTCGACGAACGAGAATCGAGAAAACCAAGGATACGGTGGCTATGGCGGCAATTATAATAACGGGTACGGTGGCGGATATAATGGAGGGTATCGACGGCCCTGGAATCCAGAGCAGAGGGATAGGAATGAGCAGATTGACAAAATGTGGAGTTGGATGTCAGGAGAGATGCAGGAGAAGGATCAATTGAGAAAAGAGAGGGAAGAAGCTACGAGGAAGGAGGAAGAGGCGAAGAAGGTCAGAGAGATTGAGGAAAAGAGGCTTGCAGAAGCAAAGGATAAGGAAGATTTTAACGCCAGCATAGGCCAGATGGTGGATAATCAGATGAGGCGGGTATGCGAGGAGGTTCTGGGGAAGAAAGTTGGAAAAGGTGAGCGCTCACTTACGCCCGCAACGGAGGAAATTCGCAAGAGGACGGAAGCGGAAAAGAAGAAGAGATACGCGGAAGAAGAAATCAGAAGGAAAGATGAAGAGATTGTTAGGTTGAAGTGCGAAATGGCCAATATCCAAGGGACTAGCTCTCACAGTAGCATGGCAGAACAAGAATTGGCAGCGCTTAGGGCCGACAATCAACATTTTATTCATGATGTGATTTATCTGAAGGAACAGGTAGATCAGCTCAAGAGAGGAGCTAAGCGAACTGCTCAAGCCGTGGAGGAAAAAAGTCCTCTCCAGGAGCCTGCAAAGGGAAATGCAAAGTACCAGAATGAGTCAACGCCAGCGGACTATGTTAGACTCTCGGAAGCATACAGAAAAATGAGAGATGACAAGGACATGGTGGAGAGGGAGGTGCAAATGCTGAAGGAGAGGATTGGGCGAATTCGGATTTCACCGCTGTCTGCAAAAAGGATTACACCTCCAACTGTCAGAAGGAAGAAGGTCGCGATAAAAAGTGGTTTACCAACGAATTTGAGACAACAACTAAACAGTATTGAAAGTCCAAGTAAGACGAGTGAAACTGGAGGAGGGGAAATGGCACAGGTGAAATTCGTCAACTTGAAGAATGAAGATTGGGAGTCGTTCAAAAGAAGGGTATGCGGGGAACTCTGCAAACTTAAGAAAGCGAAAATTGAGAAAATTTATGACGAAGAAAAGATCGGGTACGTGACCATCAGAGCATCGGCAGAAGCGATTGCAGAAATGTACACTGACCGCGCTTATGGGAAGCAGAGCAACTAAGAAGAAGACAGGTCATCTGAAAGCCCAGAAGGATCCAAAGATCTTGTTGCAGAAACGGAAAACGAAGAAGATGATGTCGACACAACCGAGGGATGCTAATGATGGTCACCGAGCGTTGGTGAGGTTCTCGAACTCGCTCTCGTTTGTAGGGAGGCACGACGATTTACGAACTTGCTAAATGAGCATGAAATTTATGATTTATTTAGACTAGCAGTGATTTCTTTGATTTTAAGCCGTCAAATTTCGTGGTGTGACAAGTTTGCTCCCTTTATTCGCTATTTATTTTCGGTCGGCTATGACTTTGTCTCGTGTCCAGGACCACTGGTTTATGCATTAGCATCACCTTGGTATAAACACGTGTACGTAGGTTGTTCTAGTAGGCCACTTCGTTTGCGCTGGAAGGAACACCTATATCGAACGAAGGCACAAGATGAACCGAATGTTACGAACCACCGATTGTATAGGTGGCTGAGACACAACGGAGTGCATAATTACGTTGCTATTCCTATTGCTTGGGTAGGGAAAAATGATATACTATCTACTGAGTCCTTTTTTATTCGGAAAATCAATCCGTTTTTGAATTGTATTCCTGCCCAGGGGAGACGTAGGGAGCGAGGTAAGAATAGACCAGGGAAACATGAGAGGAGAAAGATTGTAAAGGGAAGAGAGGGAAGCCGTGACGGGAAAATTAAGAAGGAAATTAAATCTGTTATTAGTTTCCAATCATTCATAGGAAATGAGTCAACTAGTCTACATAGGATCCTGGATAGTTGTTTTCAGAAATATGTGGGAGAGGTGATTTTAGGTGTGTGTGGGGTGACGAACTGACAGATAAATGGAAGATACTGAAGAGATGTTATGGATCATCAGTGGTACGAACGAAGGATGGAACTGAGATCTTTCGATATTGTAGAGGCGAAACTGACACCGAGGGTAGTGCTGCATTTCGAAAGAATCACGAGATTTTGCTCGAAGTTTGAGAAGCAAAAAAGTGAATTGGCAGAAATACTGAAGAACCCCTCGGCAAGCAAGAAATTTTACCATGAGTCGCTTGATAGGCTCATCCGATTGTACAACTGTGCAAGGTGTTTTTCGAAAAAAAGAGTCGTGCCACACTGAGAGCGACGATAGCTCGAATCGTTAAAAATAAGTTTTCGTTAAAACTTAGAACTAGGGTGACGATATGGATTCCATTCGATGCTGCTATTTCTAAGAAGGTGAGAAATTTGTGTTTGGATACTATTAGGAAGTCCGCAATAAGGCTATCATTATAACGTCTAATTTGTCGCAAGTTGAGGGTGGTATGGACAAGGAATAAATCAGTGGGAGATCTGCTTCATAATTTTCGGGGATTTGCTAAGCAGAATGATCTGCGGTGTACATGTGAACGGGTTGATCTTCCGAGGAGAGGGGGGGCATGTATCCTTCCGGTTTAGTGAGTTTGGAGAAGAAATTCCAAGTATAGTACGTAATGGAAAAAACATACCATATCCGGGATTGAGACGTAATTTAGGAAAGCTTCGTAATACTATCTTAGAAGGATTGAGTGGGATTCAAAGTGACACTAGCATTTTTTCAATCACAGAACGTGACATACGAAGGTGCTTAATAAGGAATGTAAACGTACAACCTTCTCAGAAGAAACGTTGAACGAGGTGATCGCTGTTAAAAAAAAAGTCGAAGGAGTGGTTTTATGTCCAATAGATCATAATGGAGGTGACACGTATGCATGTTGTCGATCAATATATCGGGAATGCATGGAGAAACTGTTTACAAAAAATCCAGGGTTTTTTTCAGTCAAGCTTGGGGAGCCTTCAGTTATCAATACGATTAAGGATAAATATCAAGAGCAGGGATTTGTAAAATTTGCGACATTCAACAATCAAGGTCAGATGGAGAGAACATATTTAATCCCTAAGCATAAAAATGTAGCTAAATGACGCCCTATTTTCCCATCCTACTCAGATCCGTTCGTACGTATGAGTCGAACCGTCTCAAAGGCGGTTAATAAACTACTATGGACACTCCCTGAGGACAATACCTTTAATCTTAGATGTATGAATGATCTGGTGGGAAGAATTGATAAGTTCAACAGAAGCGTTAAGCAAGATGAGGGGATTATTGCTTATAGTTTTGATGTAAAAGAAATGTTTACCGCATTGCCACACGCGTCGATTATTAAGGCAGTTGAATGGTGGGAGATCTGCTTCATAATTTTCGGGGATTTGCTAAGAAGAATGATTTGCGGTGTACATGTGAAGTGGTTGATCTTCCGAGGAGAGGGGGGCATGTATCCTTCTGGTTTAGTGAGTTTGGAGAAAAAAATCCAAGTATAGTACGTGATGGGAAAAACATTCCATATCCGGGATTGAGACGTAATTTAGGAAAGCTTCGTAGTACTATCTTAGAAGGATTGAGTGAGATTCAAAGTGACACTAGCATTTTTTCAATCACAAAACGTGACATACAAAGGTGCTTCAATAAGGACTGTAAACGTACAACCTTCTCGGAAGAAATGTTGAAGGAGATGATCGCTGTTAAAAAAAAAGTCGAAGGAGTGGTTTTATGTCCAATAGATCATAATGGAGGTGACATGTATGCATGTTGTTCATCAATATATCGGGAAGGCATGAAGAAACTGTTTACAAAAAATCCAGGGTTTCGTTCAGTCAAGCTTGGGGAGCCTTCAGTTATCAATACGATTAAGGAGAAATATCAAGAGCAGGGATTTGCAAAATTTACGACTTTCAACAATCAAGGTCAGATGGAGAGAACTTATTCAATCCCTAAGCATAAAGATATAGCTAAATGGCGCCCTATTTGCCCATCCTACTCGGATTCATTCGTACGTATGAGTCAAACCGTCTCAAAGGCCGTTAATAAACTACTATGGACACTCCCTGAGGACAATACCTTTAATCTTAGATGTACGAATGATCTGGTGGGAAAATTTGATAAGTTCAACAGAAGCGTTAAGCAAGATGAGGGGATTATTGCTTATAGTTTTTATGTAAAGGAAATGTTTACTGCATTGCGACACGCGTCGATTATTAAGGCAGTTGAATGGTTAGTCTGTACGTATGAAGAGAATGGATATGATGAGGTTTTTGTTAAAAGAAGAGGGAAATGTGCAATATTAGGTCGAAGGAAGAATTCTCCTACGGGGTTTACTAGGATTAAGTTTTCGAAACTGGTGTCGATGGTGGTGTTTGACCTACAGAATACATATGTTTCGGCAATGGGTACTATCCTGAAACAAGAGGTTGGGATTCCAATGGGGAAGTCGTCGAACCCGACGTTGGCATGCCTGCTATGTGCTTATAATGAAGCGAAATTTTTTAACCATTTGGTAAAAGAGAGAAGACTACTATTTGGGATGCGTTTAGTCGATGATGTAATTGTATTCTGTAAATACCGAAAAGGAGCTGATTACGACAGGGCCCTGACGAAAAGGAGACTAAGTGCCTTTAAGAGATGTTACGATGAAAATCTGGCTTTGGAGCAGACCAATAGTGGTGACACTTGGGAATTCCTGGGATGTATTATGAAGATTCTTCATTAGCAGGGACGAATGTTGTGTGCGGCCACTCACAAGAATGAGAAGGTTATTCTTCACCAAGGTGTTATGTTCCAGAATCTGCAAGACTTTGAGTCTTATTCTGACAAGCAACAAAAAATGTCAGTAATCAGTTCATGTTTACTCATAGCAAAAACGCTGACGACGATGCCGGAAGCAGATGCATGTTTTTTGCTAACCTTGAAATTTGAGTTACATGCGAGAAGATTTTCCGATTGCTATTTTGATAACTGCCTTCAAAATTTCTCTGCTATAATGAATAATTGTTGGGACCATTGGGTCAGGTGTTTCACTAAGTGGAAGTGGTAAGATAATAGGTGGACAACTTTTGGACTAACTTAGGTGGATACTTGGCGGGCACTTCTACGAATACTGATACTCTAATAGGTGCAATTTTCTGGACCTCTTAACTTAGGACTCGAACTGGCGACGTTTGGAGCAGTAGTCAGGTGCGATAATTTGAGAGTTGGTACTGTGACTTGAGCTGATATAGGAATCGAACCGGTTACCTGGGTACGACAACCTTTTCTGAAAAATGTTTTGAGAATGCGGTGTGGCGGTACGACGAACTCGCGCGACTGTCCTGGAATCTTCCGACAATCGACTCGAGAAATATGTTGTAGGAGTATTTAAGTCATAGTAACAAGGTTCGTCTTATCTTGCGCCAGGTAGTTTTTGACCCCTGACGACGCCGGACAGGCGACCGGTAGAAACACAGTGTCGGGTCTGTCGCCTGGATTTGTTCTTCACGTATATTTTGCGTAAGATACCTGCGCTCGGTTCTTTACCTCCTTCGTCTATCTCTTGTGTGTGGTATACCTTGTGTGCTACATATGAATGGGTTCAAACATATTGTTTGTCTACCTTGGCTAATGATTATGACAAACCAAAGAAGGTAAAAGCAAAAGAAAAAAAACCATTATGCAAAAATATAAATGAGCAACTTTTGCATTAGGGTCACATCAAAATTATCCACCAATGTTTAAATTTCAAATATAATTATTTATTTATTAGGTTACCAAAGTGGCCACGGACCACATGCACAGCCCCCCCCCCACAAAAAAAAAAAAAAAAAAGAATTTACTTTCGTATTTGAAATTCAGTCAAGAATTTCAATGTGACTGTGAGACAACATTGTTCAATTTATTTTTATGCATAACTTCTTTTTCCGTTTTTTTTTTTAATTTTTAAGGGGGGGACTTTTTATGATCCTTGCACGACCGGGCAGCGTGGACAACACAAGGGGACCTGTGCAGCCCGATTGGTAGCCTTTTTTTTTTTTTTTTTTTTTTTTTCCCCAACCGTGCAAGTGGTCCCGGATTACTCCGTTAGCCTAAAAGAATACAAAAGAATTGACCCGCAAACCCTAATTTCAGTTTTGGGCTCGTTAGTCACAAACTGACAATGGGGGGTCCCCGTTAACCACTAGTGTCCCCATGACGCTACATAAATACCACAAACGATAAAAACAATAACACGCACGTACA